GAAATGTATTTGTGCAAAATTTGGGCTTTTTGGGTCCAGATACAAAAATTCGTATTCCGAACATAAATACATACATACATACAGACTTTCTGCTTTATATATAGGAGATGTCGAGGACCCAAACTAACAGTGTTAGTTTACTTCTCGACATACATTTTTATAGTACAGCTAAAATCACTTCATCTACACTTTCGATTTATCTAATGCGTGGAGGTTTGCCTGCTATAGCGTAGAAATTTGTGAAGCTGCAATCCCAAACGTAAAAACACCTACGAATACCAAATCTTAATTTCGTAGAGTTTGTCTGAAGGAGGTAAAGAAATGGTTATCAGTAACATGATTGTTGGTTCTGAATAATAAACAAGAGCTATATTTCTCAATGATTTGTATTGACTTTTCAAAATGCCAAAATACTCGGAGACATTGACCACCGAATTGCGAGAGATTGCATGAAAATTCCACAACCTTTCTCATATTACTTACTCTTCAGTTGCCTCTCTGCTTACTTTTCTTTGAAAGAAGAATATCTTAGAGGTAATTTTGGCAACATTTATTCATTTGAAGTGCAGAGATAACCTACTTGCATATTTCTTTCGCCATCATGCCAGATTTAGATGTAAACATACGAGAAGACGTTACACGTTCTCAAAATAGGTTGTAAAGCCTTATATGAAGTTATGTGGTGAGCGAATTCGAATACAATATTTATTGAACTCAAAAAAGTCATAGCAGAGCTGTGTTTTCGCATAAGGGCACAGCTTACCTATCCCTCAACTTTTTGAAACCCTATCAAAGCGTTCTTGGGGTGCATCACAAAGCTCGCATTTCTCTTTGCGCCCTCAGATGAGATATCATCGACTTTAATAACAGATTTTGATGAATTTGAAAGCCAAAGAAGATCTCAACAGAAAAACTAGTCAGAAAGAAAAAACTCAGATGTAAAAGTTTAGCAGATAAAATGTAGATAATAAGGAAAGAAAAGTGTGTAGTACAATAGTCCCGACTAACTGCTTGAACTTCGGCGTATATAGTTTATTAACAATTCTGATAATTTTTCTGCTATATAAAACTGTGCTTAAGTGTTCAACTGCACTGCAATATATCAAGTTCAATGATTTCATCGTCAAGTTAAGATATGTATAGGCAAATTGTAGTCACCGTTATCTTTTCAACATGTTGAGAGTTGATATTCTCAAGGCAAAGATATATACATAGA